TCCTCCAGCAGGGCTCTTGGCTCCCCTTCTGCCCGAGGAGTAGGGGGCAGCAGCCCGAGGTGGGGTCCCCGGCCTGCCACTGGCTCCCGCAGACTGGAGCAGAAGGGGCTGGGGCAGGTCGGCCACACACATATCTCAGGGTGACATGTCAATTGCAGTGTGGGGTCCACACACATAGGCGGAACAGCCGCGGGGCCACCTGCTCTTGTGTCTGGTGTTTGTGTTTTTCCTTGTCACACTGCAGGCTGGGGAAGCACAGGACTCCGCTCCCACCCTGGCTGCTGTGTTTCTCGGCTAGTGGGAACAGTTCAGAGCGGCCACCCCTTCAGACCCGAGAGCAGCATCTGACCCAGCCCCATAGTCCTCCCACTTCGATCGTGAAATGTTGAGAATGCTGGATTTTTTTTTTTTTGTAACTAAGCTTTCACTGTGTAAGTTGTTAAACTATTTAAGGTTTCTAAAAACTTCTGCACGATATACTTTCCAAAAGAAAACAGCTTTCAGAAAAACCACTGTTTTTCTGGGTTTAACATTCTAAATCTATACGACTAGAACCAGACTCACCAGTCGCCTACCCACCGCCCTCCCACCCAAGCAGGGTGCACTGAATTCAGCCACATGCCGGACACCGGGAACGGGCAAAAGCCTTGCACTGGCAAGTGCTCAAGGCTCCTAGTTCAGCCCCGGCCACTGGGCTCGTGTCCGTCGCGGTGAGAGACGTAGCAGTGCCAGGGGCACCCCCACCCGCCCAGCAGAGGCCCTGCTCTGCAACCAGCAAGGCCCAGGTAAGCAGCAGCTTCACGTTAGTCACCAGAGCCAAACCAGGAGTGTAAAACATCTGCGGCTGCAAACTTCACTACGTAACCAAGAAGACCCCCACCTCCGTGGGACTAGATCTCCTCTGCCCCGGAGAGGCGGTGGAATGTTTGAAGTGACTGCATTATCTGCCCCTGCGTAGGGGACAGGCGGAGAAAGGTCAAGGAACCCCAGGCTGCTCCTTGGCGTCCCACAATCTGTCATCAGCAGCCTCACGGGGCTCTCTAGAGGGCGCACAGAAAGCACATGCACACACACGTGCACGATCCATGTGAGCACAGAAACAAAGCTCCATTCATCTGCAACTGGCTGTAATTTCCTACAGATCAGCAAATAAACAGCCACTTTGTGCATTAAGTTACGCACCTCAGGCCGGGTTTGCATTTCTGCTGTTAACTTTTTACTTCCTTATGCAGAGATGAAACCCACACTCTCCTCAGGATAACTACTTTTAAGGGAGCTGAAAACCTGGCTTATAGCCACTTAAATTAAAAAGCAAACATTTCCTCCAGATTCTCTGATGAACTACCGCCAGCTTCAGTGGTGTCAACGTCTGGTTTCCTGAGCCAGTGCTAAGCTGCAAGTAGCACGGAGGTGTCCCGTGAGCCAGGTTGCAGTGGCGTGCACAGGAGACAGGAGCAGGTTGGCAGTGACAAGCAGCCAGTGTAGATGCCCCGGGAAAGAATCTGCGGGACCACAATAGATGCTGCACGATTAGACACGAGATTAAATGTTAGCTTTGTATATAAACAAAGCAACTGACTCACTCCAAGATCAATATTGAACAACATTTTTATATTTGCAAGCACTATGGTGATGCAAGAATTGAATTTAGCAGCTGTATTTTCTTAAGCAAAATTAGAATACCTGGCCTGTACGTACGTGGCCAGAGGACAAGACACCAGAAACAGGGACGGTAGGAAATAAACTGAGATACGCAGTAAGTACAAATCAGAGCCTCCCTGGTTTTTATCCTAGTTCCAATTCTGATGGGCCTACCATTCTTCCTTCACTTTTGTAAGGGGCCAGCATAGGATTTTTTAAATTGAGAGTTAGGATGACAAGCTGACAGGTGAGGAATTTTTAATCGGCTCACGGTGACCATCACTGAAGCCTCTGGCTGAGAAGACGCAGCCACCTGCAGCAGCTTCTCAGAGGATGACAGAGCGCTTCCCACTCCTTCCAGACTGACTGGAAAGGACAACGAAAGGGACGGCAAGAAGGGAAGTAAAAACCAGATATGACCCCCGTCACTCAGGAAGCGTGGACAAACCAAACAGGGAAACAGACCACCACAGGACGGAGGGGTTGCGAAAGCCGCACCTCAACAGGTGAAGCACCTTGGGCCAAGGGCTTCCCTGGGATCAAGTGTCTAACCCGGATCAAGACAGAACAAGGTTGGAAAACTTCTGGATTACCCTCGAGTACTTCTTAGAAACAATGATGAAGGCCCCGGCCTGTGCTCTCTGCAGCTTGGCATTCAGCCCCAGTAGGAATACAGCAAGGGAGAAGATGGAAGGTTCTTCCAAAGCCCACACACGCACCATCGTGAAGCCACACCAAGTGCAGTGTAAGTCATATCCCGATCCATCAATACCCCAGTCATAGACATCACTGCCATAAAGACTATGCACCTTTAAAAGGAGGACTCGTTTGAAAAAATAACGTGTTCAAGTATATCTTATGCAACAAGCAAGCATATCCCTCTAAACTGACAATTTACACAAACCTGGAGAGAGTGAAAACCAACAGCTGTTCTTGGGAGTAAGATTTGGGCTCCTTAGGAAAATTAGATTCAGAATCCTAATGAATGTGAGCTTATAAAGGATGCATCTTTGAATAACTTTCAACTTGAACCAGAAACCTTAACTATTTTATGGTGATATAAAACAGAAAGTCTTTATTTCCCTGGGTTTTCTCTAACTCTCCAGAGTTGTTTTGTGACTAGTCAATTTCCCCTTGCTTAAATGGAATTTTCCAACCCTTGAGCCCTCTAGAAACCATTCTAGGATCTGAGATACTGACAAGAGGCTGCGCCGACAAAGAAGGAAGTTTAAGAGGAAGAGATTAGGGGACAGAAGCAGGGACACAGACACGAGAGAACACACTGTGTGACTTCCTTTATAGCAAATTCTAGAAACGGCAAAACTCACCCATAGTGGTTGCCTAGGGTGGGTGGGGGAGGGATCGACTAAGAGGGACACAGGAAACTTTTTCGGGTCAGGAACGTGTTCTGCGTTGCTCTAATCGTGGACGTGTTACGTAGTTGAGTACGTTTGTCGGAATTTAAAAGTACTTAAAATGAGTATATTTTATTGTATGTCAATTATGCCTCAATAAAACTGACTTCGAAAAAACAAAAGATGTGAGCAATTCTCTGGGAAAACTAACAAAATGTTATTTTACTTTAAGTGCTTTGGCAGAATTCGATCATCTGCCTCAACTCTTACCTTTGCCTGTGAAAATACAGCTCAGGGATGGAGAAACCCGGGAATTCGTCAAAAGCACCCAAGAAGCCAGCCCCTGTGTGCTGGCTGGAGATGAAGTTTGAAACTCTACATATCTCGATGGAAAAGATGTTTTAAGCAAAAGAGGCAATTTTAAAGTGATGGTCTCTTTTTAATGTTTAATTCTTAAAAATGAACAAGTCCATTTATAATGACCATTTAGAAATGAATCCATAAAGACCAAAAATTCAATAGATCAACACATTTTAATTATTGAAATAGAGTAATACTTGACAGAAGAAAGTCCTGGAATATTTAGGTTGCTATCTTGCTGCCCGCATACATTTAATCCTAACATTGAGACAGCGTTGACTTAATCATCTAAGCTTGAGTTTCCTCTGAGCATACGAAACAAATCGCCGAGGTGATGGAAGATTAATTTTAACATGAAGATTTTTCATCCAATTAAAAAAAACATTACTTAGAAAACAACCTGTCCTTCTAAATCATGAAGTTGATGTGGGGTTTCTCCATGATTATAACAAACTAGGCATAATTGTATCTCAGATTTGTACTAATAGTAATGCGCTAATTCTCTTGTTAAAATTCAAAAGCTTGACTGTGAAACTAGAAATCACACACCAAGAAAAAATACTAACACAGATAAATATAAGTTAATTATATACATATACAAGATGTTTATATCTTTTAATTCTATTTTTCCACAAACTTTTTGAAGTACCTCGTACAATCATACATAGAACCTAAACAGGTGATTTTAATAAACCAGGCAAAATACTATACACACCTGAACACACAGCAACTCCAAGGCACATGAATAAAACTAAGGCCGTTACTTTATTTGGAACAGGAAAGTGGTGCAGGCAACTCAGTGTGCCCGACGTGAGACCTCCCCCACATCCTGCTGCCCACCCCAGGGCGTAATCTGGGGAAGATACGTCTTCTGCCGGCCGGCTGTGCCACCTGCTACTGCACCTTCTCGTGGGGCACGCATGGCATCCACCTAGACTGAGCACTGAAGAGGTACATTTTGGGAGATGAAATTCCGATTTGGGTTAAAGGTGAATGCGCGTCCTAACACAGGGCTGTGAACCACTAGTCTCCACTGAGTTAGAGAAAATGAAGGTGACCTGTTTAGATTTCCACAGTTGCTTCCATGTGAAAATTAGATGTATAGCTACTTTCATTAAAAAATATTCTGATCAAGGGCCAGCCCGGTGGTGCACTGGATAGTGCGCCGCTTGGGAAGCGCGGCTGCACTCCTGCCGAGGGTTCGGATCCCGCTTACAGACCGGTTCCCGCTCACTGGCTGAGCGAGGCGCGGGGCAACACCGAGGGTTGCGATCCCGTTGCCGGTCCCGGTCCGGTACGGGGGTGACACTGAGGGTTGCGATCCGTTGCCGGACACGGAAAAAGACAAAAAATAAATAAATAAATAAAAAATAAATTAAAAAAAAATAAAAATGAAGACAAAATAAAGACATTTGCAGACGAAAGCCAAGAGAATTCATTACTGTCAGACCTGCACTACCAGAAATATTAAAGAAAAAAATTTAAGGCTAAAGATAATTTGTCTTATTGGAAAGCTGGAAGCCTACAGCTTCAGGAAACAAATTAAGATCACTGGAAATGGTATTTTATGAATAAATATAAAAAGTTTTTTAAACAACAATAACCACAACATAAAGATATGTGAAATATATGATAACAAAAGTCTCAGGTCTACAATAGAAAAGCCAAGAGAGGATGAGTGATTTTCCAGCTCGGTTATCGTGTTTACCCGGCGTGCGCTGGTACCCAGGGATCACTGCTATGCTGTCTGTGCCAGGAACTTCACATACTGGTCCCGGGCATCGAAATGGTCAGCCGGCCGGTTGTAGGCCGTCCACACTGGCTCTCCCACGAACAGCCGCATGGCCTTCACGTAGTTCTGAAACACAAACACAGCCAGCTTCTCATTACACCAGTCGGCCTTCTGCTTGTTTATAACAATTTAGTCACATACATTGCTATAAAGACTTTCCTTGCTGTTTTTATTCTTATGTCTTAACAATGCTAGGTTAGCTTTACCCTCTGAAGGAAAAGTAGCGCCAGGCGCTGTGGCCAGTGCTGCTGCGTCCTCAGGCCCCGGTGCACAAGCCCCGCAGCTGAGCTCAGCGCTCACACTCTCCATACAAACATATCAGCTATGAAAACACGCACTACCTTCAGCCTCAGGGATCCATCCCGCCTTCCTTTCTGTCTCCTTTGGGTACAGTTTTCCTAAAAATTAGCACTGGGGGGGGGGGGGGCTCTCATGCTGCCAGTAGGCAAGAGAGGACAATTTGGAATCACTCATCAAAACTAAAAATGCACGTGCCTTTTAGTTCAGTTTTCGCTTCTAGGAATTTATCCTACAGATAAACACACATAAGTGCAAAATGACAAATGTATAAGGTTATTATTTCCGCACTGTTTACAGTAGCAAAAAAAAAAACTGGAAACGATTTATATACTGATCATTAGGAATCATCCACTCAATGGAATCAGTTAATGGTTAAGTAAATTAGGGTTCATCAAGGGAATAATATGCAGCTGTGAACAGGAATGAGGCTCTTTACATACGGACATGAAACTATCGTGTAGAAAGCAAGCAAGGAGAATGCAGAACTGTGTACGTAGTCTGCTATGTCCTGTGCGTTAACAGGATAAACAGGAGACTGATTACACTCACTTGAACATGCATACAATCTCTTTAAAAAGATTTTTTAAACATAATATCTATGACCTTCAGGGAGAGACAGGGGCTGGGGAATGGGGGTCATAGGAGGACTTTTTTTTCCTGTTATTTATTTTTTTTACATTCTATGATGTTGCAGAGAAGGTGGGAAGGGGAGGGAGAGGGGAAAGGGGAAGGAAATGTGGAGGAAGGAGGAGGGGCAGGATTGAGGCCTGGGGCACCTCCTCATTCCCACAGGGGAGACCAGCGGGCTTCCAGGGGTGGCTTGGTCATTGCTGGGCTGGGTGCAGATGTCAGGGGGGTGTGGCAAAAGCCCTCACCTCCCACTACCCCAGCTTGGGAACCTGGGATCCTTCATGCTGCGGCTTGGTGGTTGTTGCTGGGCTGGTTGCTTATGT